GGGGAGCGAGAGACAAATCCCAATAAACTAGAAAGCGTAATATCTTCCACCCTGTTGCAAATTGATTTCTGACCTCAGAGATGTTTTTCATTGGAAGAAAGATTTATACAAAGTGAAAATAAATGTATTATTTACGAGCAGATTATGATAAACTCTTCGCTTCCTCCTCACATCTTTTTCTAGACAAAATCAGGGTTTCAGTCTGCAACAAAAACATCTCCCTAGAAAATATTCGGTCTAGAAAATAGATTAAAAACCTGATGCAGTCTCTGTCTTGCTGGCTGTCTCTCACCAAGAAAAAATACTCTATTACGTCAATAGTTATTTTGCCACTTTTTCAGACAATGTGAGCTAAAGCAGCCAAGCTACAGACAGCAAAGGACACTGTAGACAAGACAAAATTAATTTAAATTACCTTTCTACTTTCCTAATCTTTAGATTCTGTGGCTTGATTTAATGCTGAGAGGCTATTTTGCAAACAGCTTCTGTCAGAGGCTGTGTTCTGGTCTGTCCTGAACACAAGTACCTTATGAAAGGGCCATGGCCAAAGTAAAGTCAGCCTTAAGTTCACCTCCTGCTCCTGCAGTAGCTGTCAGAGGAACCCGGGCAGGACCAGGGAGCCGGCACCTCAGCACCTTTGTCACACTGCTAGAGGTCCCCTTCCCCGAGGCTGCTGCCAAGGTGACACTCCGCACCTCTGCGGGCGATGACGCTGCAGGTCCCGTGTCGTGCCGTGTTCAGAGCGTACTGCAACTCTGGGGAAATACCAGGGACTCGGCGAGCCCTTGGGAGCTAATGGGACTGTGCACGCTTCTTACGGGAGGCACATGGGCACAGCCTTTGTGTTTCTGTCCTCATTTGGATCTCCACAGTGTTATGTTTGTAACGTTGAGTTACCCCAGACTATCTCAGTTACGGTGATCTCAACTTTATCTATCAAGTGCAAAATGTAGAGACCAAGCAAATGTCTTTTTGGTAAAACTTTTCTGAATGAAGCAAATGATGATGTGGATTCAGATGATACGTATAATTTAAATATGTGTTAACATTTTTTAAAAAGTATAGGGAGTGCAGGAAGGGCAGAATTGGAAAGAAAAATTACATTTTAAAGGCTGTGATGTTCTCTCAATGAAAACAGAAATAGAGGTTTTTACTTTGCTTGCTGGGTTGACACCAAGAGGAGTTTGCATCTCTGCACAATTGCTTTTATAGATCCGGAGACTCAACGGCCAGAATATGGAATCTCAATGAAAACAGCAACAGCGGTTCCACTCAACTAGTTTTGAGGCACTGCATAAGAGAAGGAGGACACGATGTCCCCAGCAATAAGGATGTGACTTCATTGGACTGGAATGTAAGCTAACTTCTAAGACTGTGTATGGTTTTTAACTGTCTAAATTTAATTCAGAGGCAATTACAGCTGCTGCTCCATATCTTTTATATCTGAGGTGACCAGAAGCTCTGTCCTAACCTACTGACCTCTTGTTTCAAATACTCATAATAGGCTGAACTTTCCCCTGTATGCTATAATTTTCCAGGACTGTTGCCATCTTCAAGCTTATTAATGATGTATTTATATCTCTATTTTAGGAGCACGGGTAAAAATAAACTTAGCTAACTTTAAGAATGAAGATTAAACAAGCAATCTATGTTGTAATGAAGCCTGAATAATAATGTATTTGCATCTCATAATTACTTTATTTTGGCATGTGAGGAGATATAAGCACCAGCGAAGCTTTTTCTGAGGTTGGGCTATCAAGACCCTCTCCCATTTGAATTATTCTGCGCATAGCCAAACATGCTCACATTATCATCTTCATCTTGGTAGGAGCGTATGTACTCATTCTCTCTTTTTACCTACCCACCTTCTGGGTGGAACTGTCTTGCCTGATCCTTTTTACTTTCATCCTGCAAAACCTTCTATCTTAGATAATATAGTCATGCACAGAGAAGACTGAAGTAAGCAGAGAGGACAGGTATTGTTAAGAATCCCCAGTGTCTGGGCGGTGTCTTTGGGCAGCATTATGGCTACTTCATGTCTCCTTTCTGCCACCGAGCATTGTAAAAAGAACTTACAAAACCTTGCAGGAACCTTAATCAATTTTGAGATCACTTGTATTTGGTCCATTTTGTTAATGTTAGTACAGAGTGATCACATTAGTCTTGTTTTCTTAGGAAAACAGTTTAAAAATTAAGTACCAGAAAGGATTCTCAGCAGTTACATACAGTCTCAGTTGCTGGCTGGAGACCAAGATTCGCTTAATCTTTACTGCAATATTATTGTCCTTCAGGTGAGCTAGGTGCTTCATAAAAGTAAAAGATAAGGCCACTGCACAAATCAGCTTCCCCTATGTACTGTATATTTGACACAATGAAAGAAGTTGATGAATATTACAGAAAGCACAGGTAGGTTAACAAAGCAAATAAAGATAAAACCCAAGAATGTTCATTACTTGTTTCCTGTGGATATCACAGTAAAGAAAAATAGTCGGGAAAAACTGAATTGAGGAGTAGGAAAAGAGTAACTGAAAGAGGAAAACAAGCAAAGGTGCAGAACAGTTATGAGAAAAGTTGTCCAAAACGTATAGGGCATCCTCTAGTATTTCCTGTAGTAGTTCCATACCTTTCCAGACTTCATTGGTCACTGATACTTCACTTGCATTGTGCTAGTACTTAATGTAAAGAAATGTTCCTAATTTAAACACCCAAAGTGCTTCCAACTTACTTTGAATTTTCCAAAGAATGTGAATTACCACCAACAAATTTGGATAAACTGTACATCTCGTCCCTTAGCTTTCCTCCCCTTTTCCCTTTTTGGTCTTACCACTTTTGTTCTCATCAGTAGTCCAGATAAGTGTATATCACAGTGAAGTTGGCTCAGGTTTTGATATTTTTCCCCCTACATCATCATACATCTGAGTTAAATCTACAACTGCTCTGACTCACTGTTTTTGGAGGGTTGGAGTGGACATATGTTTTAAAGGATTATTTTGTGCTTTTTCTTAATTTTCTATTCATGATGCTAGAAATGCCATCTGCCTTTATTGTTTATTTAGAACCACAATATTAATCATATTTCACTGTGAAATTTTCACACTGGTGATACTAAATCGGTTCTTCTCTGGTTTATGTGATTTATGTTACAATAAGAAAGGTTCTTTCTAGAGGCCATATTCAGATCATGTCCTTTGGTACCAAGGGTAGGATTCATCTCCCTTAGATTTAACCATCTAAACTAGTCATCTAGTCTCCCTCTAAGTCAGCAGAAACAGAGACATGTGCCTTCGTGCTGGTCTGGGCCCAGTCTAAAGCAAATGGGATCATGAATTACACTCCAGAGATGGGTGACGCTGTTAGTTATAGAGGGAGACTAGGTTACTCTCTTAAACTAAATCCTAACTTCTGGACATCTGGAGATAAATGGGGTGAATCTCACTCCTAATCCAGGTGCTGAAATGTTTAAAGGCTAAGCGCCCAGCTCCAACAGTAGCCGTCTCACCAGGTTGCAGTTCCTTTTTAATTATTCTCATTCTGGCCCAGTAACTCTAGCATTGTTGGCTGCACAGGAGATACCCTTCGGTGAAGGGCTCTCTCCAGCAGAATACATGTAATTTGCCGATTATGATTCCTGTGCTTTTTTTCTTTTAATTGGGACCCATGAATCCAACTTTTCTCAGGCTATCCATCGTGGTACTGTGCCTCTGAGCATGTGTGGGAATCTTGTGTTCAGACAAGCTGGAAGCAGCTTCTTTGTGGTAGATAGCATTTGAGGTGTTAACCATGAGCGTAGGTGGCTTAGGTGTTCAGGTCCTTCTTTCAAGTAGAGGTGCCTGAATTTCACTGAACTGGGATTTAGTCAGGATTTAGATGATCTGTTGACGTTTTATAGGCTCTTTATGTCTAAGAAGTAGTATCTGTTTGTTATCTGGAAGAATCCCATAGAATTTGTTATATCTTGTCTTCTTTTTCTAATCCTTCTGATTAAATTACTCTTATCTGATGGTATAGCCTAGTATTTCACAGTATGTCAGAGGGTTTTATTTCCTCTTTGCTGTCTGCAGTAATAACCTTTAGTTTAAATCATAGTATAATCTGTCCCAATGTGTGGACTCAGATTTCCCATGAATCACGATGTACGAACCTTAAAAAAAAAAGTAGAGAAAAGAAAAAAGTTGGTTGAAACAGATTTCATCTAGTATCAACCTTTGTCATTTATATATATCCTAACAGAGTGATGGAACACTATTGGCTACAGGCTCGTATGATGGTTTTGCAAGGATATGGACAGAAGATGGTAAGTCAAGCAACATTTATTGTTCTTAAGCATCAAACAGCAGTGAACTGTAATTTGGCTCATTTATAAACAAATTGTAATATTAACCTTTTCTTTATTGCAGGTAACCTTGCAAGCACCTTAGGTCAACATAAAGGTCCAATATTTGCCCTGAAATGGAACAAAAAGGGGAATTATATTTTAAGTGCTGGTGTTGATAAAGTGAGTTTTAAAAATACATCATTCTAACATATAAATGTGCTGACTCAGTGAGCTTGTGCTGCTGAATTCCATAAGATTATTTTCTTCTCCTCCAGCCATCCTGGAGTAAACTCCTCAGTTTACTTTTCTTTAATATGTTTTAGCGTGTGTTGATTACGTTTTTGAGGCCACATAAATGTGTACTATTTTTATGTGAAAGATTTTACTTAAAAAAAACAACTCCACTTGCCCCCTGTGTAAAATTGCATCTTAAATGTTTCTCAGTTAAGGAAAGAACTGCTTCCACTACTTACGTTTATAGTTTTGTCAACTAACTATTTCCAGGAAGGAAGTGATCTTAAAGATACTTGACCTTTTAGCTCATCTGAAACACTTGTATTTGAATAAAATATATATGACTTCCTACGCAGATATGCAAAAAAATGGTAGTTCTGAACTCCAAATCAAGCAAAACATGGTAGTTTCAGCTGAGTGCATATTAGAGATTAAAATGAACAGATGACTGCTGATGATGAGCACAAATCCATTAAAAACTGAAACTGGAAAGTGTACAGCATTCATCTTGCCTAACTTTTGATGTCTAAAAATTAGATGTGTATGCCATCTTTGGCTTCCTTTGTAAAATTCAGAGAGAAAAATGGCACTTTCAAGTGATGGGTTGCATGGCCTGTGTTGCAGTGAGATGCACTGACAGTGCTCCTCTCCAGCTACTGACAGAGGGGAGTCTTGGGAAACTAGCTCAGGCTTGTACATCTGATCTGTAGGCTAGATGAATCCCTATATTTTCACATACTTGTGAAAATGGAAACTTAGTTTTATTCCTTTTAATACTGGCTTATGTTCAGCTACACTTGTCTCCCAGTGGTAGTTCCATTATTCTGGCAAACTTATGTTCCCAATAACAGCAGTGATTCTTTAGATGTTCCGTTATCAGCAAGATGAGGCATCCTTAATTTATTTTCTGGAAGCATATACTTCCAATAAATTGACAGTTCACTCAGAAGGTGGTACTGAGCTCTACAGGGGAGTTGCTTACGTGTGCTGTGAATATGGATTAAACCTGTATTAAGCAAATTACACTTTAGTCTGTCCCACGACAGTGGCAAGAAGTGATACGTACTCTGCTGCTAGATAAACATTTCACTTGGTGGTTTAATTGTCAGAGATGTAGTATCACGTAGTTTTGGAATAGAATTCAACTTGCATCTTTGAAAAGGGGAAAAAGTATTCTTTGGAGAAGATAACTGAAACAGCTGTAAAAAAATGCTTATTAAAAATGTGTAGTGCTGTCTTCTAGCATTATTCAGAGAGAATATGCCCGTTCTTAGTAGTTATATTACTTCCTCTGTAGGCGTGATAATTCCTTATCTACCCTTAGATTATTATTCTGTAATATTTGGAAATTATTTCTGTTTTTTCAGCTGTTCAGCACACAAGGCTCTCTGCAGTCAATAATTTTATTAGTCCATCTTTTAGAACTGCTCCTCAGTGAGGGTGCTCTCTGTTTTCTCTGAGCTGAACGGTCACTAATCTTTTTTTCCCCCCCTTCCTTCGGATGCAGACAACAATAATTTGGGATGCTCACACAGGAGAAGCTAAACAGCAGTTTCCTTTCCATTCAGGTAATTTCTGCATAACTCTTGTTAGTAAAATGAAATGCAGTTTTTAATTTTGTCAACGTAATTTATCCTTTTGTAAAAACCTATCTGCCAGAGAGAATTTTGAACCAGTTTTTTTGTGCTTTAACTATCCTGAGTATCATGGCTTGTGGGTTTATTCTTTTTTCAGAAAGATGGGGTTCTGTGAGAATCAGCTTTGAAAGTCAAACTGATTCTGGGAGAGGATTTGTACACCAGCCATGTCTACCCAGCTGAATGATTCTGTCATTATCTATCTGCTTGAATAGTGCCAAGTGGTGATTTATGAAGAGGCTTTTCGGTGGAGGTGTCTGGGATCTCTCCCACTCTTTCTGCTCCTATTGCAATGAAGCTGACTTGAGACAGAAGCAAACAGATCTCTCATGCAGCTTTCATTCACTACTGCAAGCGTGAAGGTCCTCAGGAATTTCTTAGCTTTTAATTTTGACTTGAAGTTCTTCAGTATTTGCTTTCTCTGATTATCAGAAGTCAATTGGCAACCTTGAGTTTCAAAACCTTGCTGCACCAAAACCTTACTTGGATGGTCGTTTGTAGATCTGGTTTGCTTCAAGAAGGCAGGAGATGTCACAGATACTAAGTAATCTTGAGTAACAGGCAATCATTGACGTAATCTTAAATTCACCTGAGACCAGACTTATAAGATGATGACTGAATTCATGATCCAAACTGGATAAGTTGTCATAGTGAAGAATTTTTAAAGGGCATAGTCAAACTGAGTTTAAAACCACCAAAACATTCCAGATTCTGATGCTAGAAATGTTCATCTTCCTGTGTGTTCACTGTAACTAATCCATTTTTACATACAGCAGGCTTTCACAAGGTGCTTAATGGTGTTTAAAAACACATATTTTACTACTAATTGTAAAACACTAATTTGCGCATGCTTTTCAACTCAATTTCTAGTTGTTCTTATTCTCACATTTTCACAGATGTTATTAATATGCAGTAGCAATTGAAATGGTTATTCAACAGAAGACAAAAAGTATGTCCATGAGCACAGCAGATCCATACTCTGCATTTTTCTCACTCATCTTCTTGCTTATTAATGCAACTCTCAGTTTGGAGGAGTCAAGTGTCTGCTGACAGATTTTCTCACTGTGGCATTTATTTATCTATCATAACTGTTCCATAAAAGCAAACTTTGCACTGTATAGTGAGGTAGTTAATGAGACTCTTAAGCCTTCTGATCCCTAACTATTGATCTAAGTGGTTGCGGATTCAGAACTGGGTTGACCCTTCAGAATCATGTTCACTGTCGTGTAGCTGTCTTAGCAGTGATGTGCATCAAGGACATATCACTCCATTCCCCTTTTAGCAAGTTGAAAACTTAACTACATCTTCCAATGCAATATGCCAATGTCCATCTGCATTAATAGATTTTATACAAAATTCTTATTAAGCATGCTGTTTGTCTTCGGACCATAAGAGACAACTCAAGTGGAGATGCGGAGAGGCTAATACTTTTTTTTTCATTATTTCACATATGCTTTCATAGGGAAGTTAAAGCAGTTGGTTATTAAGGAAATTGTTGATAGGCCAGAAGCATATGTCCTACAAAAAGCCCCTTAAAATCAGCTGGAGTCTTTGTCTTCACGTAAGTCTAAAGCTACAAAGGCCTCACCTTGTCCTCTTTGAATCACTTATGCAGCAGAACAAGCTAACAGCAAATTCCTTTCCATATCTGGAATCCGAAAACCTTGTCTACACAAGGATTAAAGGTGGCATTTTAACAATTAAAAGTCTAGTCTAGACAAAGTACAGTTCCTTTAACACATACTTGTGTGGTGTACTTCTTTGCGTACTTCTTTGAAGTCTGGAGGTAGTTGGCCTGGGAATAACATACATTTTTTACTCTCGGCTGCTTTACAACAACTTGTTTAGTTTATGCCTATATGGACAAAACTGTCATCTTAAAATACACAAGGAAGACTCTTTGTCTAGGTCTTGAAGGCCTCTATATCATTGATGTTCCCATGTAACTTTAAGGTTTTGTGGTCAAAATATGTAAGTATGTGGATAAGTAGCTTCTAGGGTTTCATTGTTCTGTGCAAAACTATGAGTCATCACAGGGCATTTGATCAAAATGTGTATTCACAAAGCTTATTTCTTTAAAATGGAGTGAAATAATCCAATTTTCACATCTACTGATAGATGTGGACTGATGTCTATGCATGCAGGAACAAATTGGTTAAGTGATACCATAAGACGTATTTGCATGACCCAGTTTCAGACATCTAAGTGCTCTGAATCGCTCCCTGCAGACACTTAACTCAGTCCTCTTCTGAGCTTCTAATTCTGAATCACGTCTAAATTTGTTCAGAAAAAGCTTAAATTAACTGATAATTATTGTAACACTTTTATTGTTGGGATTTATTTTAGCTGCATTTCTTATGGATTTGTTGCTGCTTTTATTAGATGACATTCTAATTGTTTATATGCAATTGGCTAGTATCCTGTGGTTTTGGATACACTTTGGCAATTCAATTACTTGCATTAAAAACCATGTTTGGTTGTTTTTTCCAGACCATTTTATGTAGTTACTTATCCAGTAAACATATGATTAAATACACCAATAAATAAATCAGTATTAATTATCAACACTCTATGATTCAGATTATGCTGCAGTGCAAATCCATCGCTTTAGGTGCCAGTAGCTCTCAGAAAATTACTTTTCAACTCATACATATCATACTAGATATTAGCCCTGAAGGCATATTGCTATTAATGAAGATGGATTTTTGTTAGCTCTGAAACAGTAATACAAAGCTTGCAGCATAAAAAGAAAGACAAACAGGCAGTTAAAGAAACAAAATCCTTTACTGTTGCCTGATCCCCATTCATGTTCATTGGAAAACTCGGAAGTAACCTGCCTTCCTCACACAGATTTCCTTAATATTTCTGCAGTGTAGAAATTCCTCACCTGTCACACAGAATTACTGAGCTTTTTTGTTAATACTCTAAAAAATACTTGTATATGAAACAATTTCAGCCCTCCATTCTCATTTAGAGAGCTACCTGACGATTCGGAAGGTAACATGGATCAGTCTCATTTTGCAGTTCATAAAAATTATAACAGGAAAAAACATATTTAAATATAATAGGCTTGGCAGAACAGATATCTTTTCACCTCTGTATTACAGAAGTATTTTCTGAACGTATTTGAATAAGGCATTTCATTTTGATGAAACCATTGAATAAGGTTTCATTTTAATGATAAACTTGCATTGCCAGAAAGAGATTCAGCTTTGCTTCCTATATGCTGCTCTCGTTCTGACACACTTGCTTTTCACAGGAATGTGCTGAGAATGAAGATTTCTGTATTTTAGCAAGTCTTATGTCATCCTCTGGAGGACAGCTAAATGCTTTCCTAAGAAAAAAAACAAGCAGCAGTCGTAGAAACACAAATAAGCTGTATGTCAGGAGTTCGCTCCTACTCCTGTGCATGCTTTTAGTCTTTAGTGACATGCTGTAAAAGGGTTTTTTTTTTTGTTTTTCCACACTTTTTGCAAAGCATGTGTGTTGCACACAGCCACTAGTTACATGTTCATGTGCTATCTCTGTGCAAAGTTTTATTAGTTCAGTCCTAGTTAAGGCCAAACCCTCTACAGAAACTCCTCCTCTCATTTCAGATCAGCTTGATCAATGTACCTATCTTAAATCAATCCCCAACCAAATTAAACTGAATGTAGGTATTATTAATCCACGTGTCTGCCCAGAACAGTAGGTTTGCATCGGTGGTTGCATAAAGCTGGTGCAAAGGAAGATGGCCACCTGCTTCTTCTCCCTCCCGTGTGTTGTGTCTGGCATTCACAGGAACGTTTTTTCTAACCCAGCTGAAATTATCCACGGTTTTTCTGGATTAGTTTTCTTCCAGATTCTTTGCTGGGCTGGCTTACAGAGGAATGGATGGTAGAGATGGCCCCAGAGCAGTGTGCAGCTGGGAGCGGGGAGGGTGGAGGCAGATTGTTTTGCCCTCTCTTATATAACTTAACCTAAAAGAGTCTCATAAATAGATGCCATGCAAAGCATCCAGATTATCCGCTGCAAGAGAAAAAACAATTTGTGCCCTTCAGACAGTTCCTATCATCCCTGTAACTGGTAGTAGGTGATAAGTCCAAGAAGTAGCTTTTAGTCCATTTGATCCAGATGGGTGACAGGAGGAAAATGATTTGGGATAGCCGTTTCTTTGCTGTGTTCCCTGACGTTCTTTCTGTTGTTTGTACTTCACAGCTCCTGCTCTGGATGTAGACTGGCAGAACAACACTACTTTTGCCTCTTGCAGCACTGACATGTGCATTCATGTATGCAGACTTGGCTGTGATCGTCCCGTTAAAACCTTTCAAGGACACACAGTAAGTTTAAGAAGTCCAAAATATTAAGTGATAAAGTCACCTCAGGATGTAGCGATGATGGCAGCTGATGTGTTTGCAGGGTGTGTTCTAGCACCAAAGGTGTTACATCCCATTGCTTCCCTGAAACCATATTCCTCAGGAGTGACTCGCTGCCTGTGAGGGGGGATAAACTGTTCTAAATCACCGTAGGAAGCAAAACCTGCAGCTTAAACAGTGAGACTATTTATATGTAACATGAGCTGCAGACTAAGGGCACATTAATAAGTAAGATTTTGTTTTCTGCTGGCTTAATTTCCTTTAGTAAATGAGAACTATGAATAAGGAGAGAACAATTTACCTCCAGCCATTGTTCGTTTTAGAATCAATTTAATCTAATGAGATCTATTTAAGATGTATTTCCCCCCTCTTTTCCTGGTGGTATTTAATGACCGTCAAAGGCTAGTTTTTCTAGCTTTCATTCGTGAGAAAACTGCTATCATGTACTGACCTGTAATTTAGATGCTAACTTCAGAGCTTGCTATCTCCTCGCTGAGGAAAAAATGTGCATTTGGAGACCTTTATCTAGACTATGGTTAAACTGATATTAAACTGATATTTCATGACAGGTTGTACATTCCTACCAACAGACTGGTGCTTTTTATGATTATATGAAATGCACCATTTTGCACATGATCCAAATTTTTACTTCAAATAACTGTACAGTTCCTTTTAATTATGGCTGAAACAGGTAAAATGGATTAAGCAAAATGTAAATATTTTCCAGGATTATTTTCACTGAGACCCTGAGCCAATTTATGTTTTTAAAAAACAATCTTTCCCTTCTTATGAAATGCCTTTTTTCCCCATAAGTATGACCCTCAAAAAAGCACAGAAAACTTACTGGTTACTAACAGGATACACTAGGCTTAGTTAATTACAAAGTGCTAGAAAGACAGATAGAGAAAGCATCGTAAACTACTCAGTATTCCATCTTGGATTTCATTCACACATACACCTCTGTTTAGAGAGACCAGCATTGTTGTAGAGCTGCAATGCTAAGAATTATAAACTCCACAAAACTTTACAGCCCACCCGTATTTTCTATTGAAAATTTGTATCCCCGAGATGTACAGAATATTAACTGAAGAAATTTCTCAATTGTAAAAAGAAGTTAATGCTGTATCATCAATCTGTCTGGTTTGAGGCTTTATTTAAATCCTAGCATGTGAAGAAAGAGTATGAGAGACTTTGTGCCAGAACATGTATCAGAAGACTGATTGTGTGTATTGTTCACAAACACAAAATGGTTACCATGCCTAAATGATACTTAAATAGCATGTTACGGAAGCAGCACTGCTTTTGTTCACCCATAGAGCAACCAGGGCTGTAATTTGTGGTTGAACTTGTTGCATGCATAAACCTTGAGTGCCCTCTGCTGGGTGCCCAGTACTGTGCGGGTAACCAGAATATTTACTTAATAAAATCACTCTTTATTTCAGAACGAGGTTAATGCAATCAAATGGGACCCATCTGGCATGCTACTAGCATCTGGCTCCGATGATATGACATTAAAGGTAATATAATTTCTATTCCTGCTGTTCAAAAAGTAAAGACAAAAATTATGTCTATTTTTTAATCTTCTCCAGAATGCTGGTACTGTATCGCTTAAAACTCTGCACGAATAATAGTTTCATTTTGTCCCATATTTCATAAAGCCAATGTGAAAGAAGCAGCCACTGGGACAACTGAGCCATCCTATCCAAATACGTGTTAAATAACTGATATGTCACAGAATAGTCATAGTTTAAATATACACAGATATTACAAATACATGTTAAATAACTGATATGTCACTGTCACAGAATAGTCATAGTTTAAATATACACAGATATATATACACCTGCCTGCCTGTCAACAGAGGCACAATCCCTATGCTAAGAAGCAGTCTATTCGTTACACTTTGAAAAGAATATAAACCCAAAGAGTTTTCCCTTTGGAGTCTTCTTTCTGAAAGTAATTTCATTGGAGCCATTTAATTTTTTTTTTTAACACTAAGCAATGGGACGGGACATATAAATTCAGAGCCCACCAAAAATCTGAATTGCTCTCTGAAAATGCCTATCTTTATCCATTCACTGTATGGGAAGCCTAAGGCAGCTGCGCTGCTGAGGTGCATGCCTCTGTTAGGTGCCTGAAGTGAAATGGAATGAATCTGGGTTCTGGCTCCCAGGCAGCATAGGTTGCTTTACCAGCACACCCGGGCCATTGCACTGTACCAGCAAAGTACTGCTAATACAGGGGCAGTCTGGCCTTGCAGAAATACTTTTCACAATAGAGCTTTTCCAGCCCAAACTCCTTTCAGTCTCTTTCTCCCTTCCCAGCCGCATTGAATGAAGGCTGTGTCCTTGTATGTTGTAACAGCAAAGCCCTCCTGCTGGACTGTTGATTTATGCTGGTTCCTTGAGTAAAGCAAACATCTCAGGAAAGATTTGGTTTTGTGGATAGAATTGTACCAGTAATACAGATTCCTCATAGTACAGTTGTGTTAATTAAGGCCATACATCTTTCCACTGCTGATTGACGCAGCTAAAGTAAAAGATGTTTCTAGCATGCACACAGCCTGTGTATAAGAACTGAAATGGAAAGAGCAGCAAAACCTGAAGAGCTAAGTGAACATCAGCTTTATTAATGTTTCCAACTTAGGCCACCAACATAGGTGGCCTAAATTCTGCTCAGTTCCACTCTGTCTTTGCCATATACCCACTCAGATTTTCATCCCTCTGGATTCTAGACCTATTATTCCAAAATGCTCACAGAACTGACAATTTATAGAAAATAGGGCTAGAAGAGGCTGAAAGAGAGCGCCTTGTCTGTTATGCTGCCGCACAGCAGTATGGTAGTAACCAATGTTGCTCTGCTTAAACATCCTGACCCAGTGGTAGCACACTTTTTTGGTGCTCAGTTGCGTGCTGTGATTTAAAAAACACCGTGGCTCAGCATTGTGGTGCCAGTTCAAATTTCTGACCACTGAATTTGGCACAAGAGCTAATGGTTTGCTATCCCCAGCCTCGCCTGTTTTTAAAAACCTTCAGTGATGGAGACTGCAAATCCTCTTCAGGCAATTATTCTTCTTCTTCCTTTTGCTTTGGAAATCAATCCTCTCTGGCTTCCTTTTTTTCTCTTCTTTTGGAGTTCTTGATATTTTCCTACAACTTCTTGGAACATACGTTGCCTGTTAGCCGTAGAACACGGCTGAGCTTTGTGTAACATTTCCAAAAGCAGACTCAGGTATGGTGATGAAAATTTAGCATAAGAGCACATAATTTCCCTCATAGTGCAGACTTACAACAAGTGAGTTAAATCATTACTACATTTTTGGTATCTCTTTGAAATTGACTGACTAAATTTGAGTTATTTTCCCTGCTGTGATTAGCTTCATCTTGTTTTCTCAGTTAGCTGAAGAAAAGATGTACTAAATTACCTGTCATCTCTGTTGAGCATATTCTTTATCTCACGCTGAAGTATTTGGCCATGTAACACTGCATAAATAGCTGATCTTGTTCCATTGTCTGTGCTACTAAAAACATCAGGAAAACAAATGGGAGTTCAGGAGGAAAAGGCAAATGTGATGTGGCTCTTGACTGGCATAAGAGAAAATTATTATGTTCTAAGCAGTTATTGAAACTTTATTTTCATTCTTTAAAATGACTGCTGTTGCAATGTGTGATTTAAACTTCAAGTTAAATTTCTCTAAACAGAGTAACTTCAGTTTCCGTGTGAAAATACAGTTACAGGCTATGGGGCAGTACAGCAACTATTTAGTTCTTCTGATCTATTGAATAAATACTATTAAATGTGTAGCTCTTTCCCCTAATGGGATTATTCTAAAGCGTGTGCATTGTAGGTGCCAAACTGCTGCATTAATAAACTTAAATTAAGTTATGTTTATGTGTATCCATGTGTGTCGAGATCTTAAATAAACAAATGGTAAGAATAACATAGAACTGAAATAATTCAGCTGAGAAGAGATAAGTAACGTTGCCATTTTTCCCCTTCATAATTACTCCGACTTAGATTTGGAGTATGAAGCAAGATACCTGTGTACATGATCTTCAGGCTCACAGCAAAGAGATTTATACTATCAAATGGAGTCCTACAGGACCAGGCACCAGCAACCCAAACTCCAAACATCATGTAGCAAGGTAAAAATATACCTCTTCCTGTTGCCTACCAAGAAGAAGGATCGGCCTTCTGACATGTAACTCTACTGTCACCTTGCCGCACCAGCAACCCAAACTCCAACATCATGTTAGCAAGGTAAAAATATACCTCTTCCTGTTGCCTACCAAGAAGAAGGATCGTCCTTCTGACATGTAACTCTACTGTCACCTTGCCGTCAGTCTTCCGGCAGACAATTCCAGTAAAAAGTACCTGTGTTTGTAAATCAGGGGGATGGATAAGAAGGGAAAGGAATCACATTTGAAAAAGAAAAAAGAAAAAGAAGGAAAATTGAGTCATATGATTTTTAACTCTTCAGCTGTCTTGATAAAAGGGTTGTAAATCTGGCATTACACCTTCACATCCGGCATCCGCTTGTTATGAATGAAGGTACTTAACGAGACAGATGGCAGCCCGTTCAGCCGGTTGGAATGTGTTCTGACCAGGGTCATGCAACTCACCTGGGCAGACACTGACAATTTTTATAGCCTTGTTAACTAACAGAGAAGAGCTTGGATAATCTTTAAAATTCCACTTGAAAATCTGTTCAAAATTCTTCTTTGAGTTTAGGAGATACGTTTACTTGTAGAATGCCAATTGGTGGTAGTACCGTGGGATTATCAAATCCATTCATGGTCTATTCAGTTTCGGGAGGAGTTGTATTGAAGCCGTTTCATTTATTTTACTCCTTAGCTGGGAGTGGACAGGGAAGAACCTCACTTTGTTGGAGTTGTTCTTTTAATATTCTTTTTAATACCAATTATTTCCCTTGCCTTTCTCTAAGCTCACAGTTTGGGATTTAGATGGATGGTAGCAAAAAACAGCACTGAAACCAAGTGCTAGAGAATTACAGAATGCTGATTCATTAAATAATGCAAATCCATTAGGAATAAGGTCTCTCTGGAACCATTTATCCTATTAATGACAATATATATTTGACCTTCCTGAGTAATAGCAGGTAGAATCTCAAAAGGAGGGAGCTTGGCCCTCTTAGGGATAGTGGTCTGATCCTACCCAGCACCCTAGGTAAACTTAAAGGGTCCACATACAAGAATTCAGTTCTGTAGATACAGTTCTTGTCATTAAAAACGTAAAGGCTGTGGTGAATATTAGCTTTTCTGTTTGAAACATTATTTCTTGCTTAGCCAAGGGAAAAAAGCTGTAGTATTTTCTTAAAATGTTTACAGTATCAAACCACAAATTGATTAACACCCAAATTAAGACATGCTTGTGTTTGAACTCTTCTTGCAGTGCTTCGTTTGATTCCACTGTTCGGCTGTGGGACGTTGACCGAGGAGTCTGCATCCATACGTTAACAAAACATCAAGAGCCTGTCTACAGTGTAGCTTTTAGTCCTGATGGAAAATATCTAGCCAGTGGGTCCTTTGACAAATGTGTCCATATATGGAATACTCAGGTACTGTGAAGCACATCTGGTTTAGATGACACATTAATAGTAAAAGCTTAAATGGAAAATACATGTACCTCTGTAGCGTATGACCTGCCAGCCAAGGTGAACCTGATTGTATTGACTGATACAAATCCCAGCATAACAGTTGAGCCACTCAGGTGGAGTGAGGTGACTGCCCAGAACATTTCTGCTCAGGCTTCATTGTATGCTAAAACACTAGCGTGCATGAAAATAGGTACATCACATTGTGCCGTCAGCTTCGTGAAGCAAAGGTGTGGATCGATTCTTAGAAATAACTGATGCTTTTATTTAGTAACAAGCTGATTTCAGTCGTGAGTCCAATGCACCTGGCTTATACTTTGTGGTGAGGAGATGACAGATACAAAGGGTGTACAGGCTGGGGACTGGGGATATTCTGGAGAAAACTGGGACATCATAGTTCCGCAGATCTAATTCTGGATACTGATGCCTCACAGCCTGAATTAACAACAAACTTTATAAAAGACCATCTCAGCCTAACTCCCCAGGCCTTTACTCTTAGAAAGTTGACAAAAACAGATGTCTAAGAGTCCTACTGTAAATTGTTTTCTGGAGGAGCCTGTTTCTCTTCATTATCAAAGACCAGTTTCCTAACTTCAGCACCTTATGGAGATGACCATAGTTGGGTGATGTGAATAGCCCCCCCTCGCCACCACTCTCTTCTTTTTAACGTAGTGCCACGTGACAGAGAAAAAGGAGGGGAACTTCTGTATCAAACGTTTGCATGCTGTTTTGCTTTGTAGAGTGGAACTCTAGTACATAGCTACCGAGGCACCGGGGGCATCTTTGAAGTCTGCTGGAATGCTAGAGGAGACAAAGTGGGGGCAAGCGCATCAGACGGATCGGTAAGAAGCTTTACGCATTGTAAATGCTGGGTGGAGATTACTCTTCTGGAGGGCGTCAACAAAAAAACATAGATGCCATACTGCCTTCACTGGACAGAGCTGAAGGGTAGACAGCTCAAGACAGAAATAAGTAGTTCTGTGGAGTATAGTAAAAACGCTCCTGCTTGGGAAGGTTTTGAATATTAGGAGGTGGTGTTCCTGTTGGAAATGAAGAATGCTTGTGGAAGGGGTGAATATTACTGAAGATGGGAATGACTTTTAAATACATATTTGGTAAGAACAACAGTAGTGTTGTTTCTATCATTATTCATCTCATCTGTCAATTTTTAATGAAGGTCAGGTCACAGCAGTCAACTCTCGAATAAACAGTTGTCCTGGGGCTTTCTAAGCGCTATCCCACAGAAGAAGTTTACCCTTGAATAGTTGCTAAAAGAGAAAGTTTTCAGCATGGTGCCCAAAGATTGCATTGGGTGGTAAAGGAGAAATATTGCCGTAGAGAGACTGATTATTCATTACTATTTTTGCTGTTAATGGTACTTTGAAAAAAACTTCAGTTGTAGCATGATCAGCTTGTGAAGGACGCACGGATGTTATAACACTCTACAGCTTTTTGAAATAACTTTTTTACATGGCTGGCTGGCTGGCATAACTACTTTAGAGCAGTATTTTTCAACTGGTTTTAACAAAGGGTACACCTACGACATGATTCAGTTGCTTGAGCTTAGTTGTGCCGTTTGAGACGGTGCCGTGCCTGGCTTCCAACAGCTGCTCCAAATGGGTGCGTGTCTGCTCTCGGTCCTGAGTCAGGCCTGCCAGGCCTGTGCATCTGTTTTGGATATATTTCAGAAATGGAAGTGGACACTGTATTCAGGCAACTAAACAGAGCCCATAGTCTTATCTGGGATGTGCCACCAACATGTTTGTTTGTAATCCAACGAAAGCCCAGCTAAATGTTAAACGTATGGGTTTCACTTGGGTTTTCTCCCACGTCGGGTTGTTCCCCTGCTTGTGTGCATGCCAACAGGTACTTGAGACAGGCTGGTTTGAAGCTGGGGAGTACGACATACAGCTGGCTGATCAGCCTGCGTACGGAGCCCTGTATGAATAGGACTTCCACATCACCTTCAGAAATGGGTCTTAATGCTGAGTCTTTTCTCCCCAGGTTTGTGTTCTAGATCTGCGGAAGTAAAAGTGAAATGTTTTAGAAGAAATTTCAAATGGACCAGCAGTGAATGTGTGGGGAGAAGCACTCTTCAAAACTATTCTTAACAGCTCCAGAACTGTACGAACTTGAACAAAGTTAGAGTGTACCGTGAAACCAACTCTCCCTGGCCACAGGTGTCTAGTATTTTGTCCGTAACCTTCATCAAGGAGTAAAAACACAGTCACTTCAGAGGGGGAGGGAATGGTTTCCACCTGGAACATTGAGCCTTGGAAGCATGAAGCCACCAGCTAGGCATTGCACTGTTTGGTTTGCGTCTGAGAACTTGCTCTGATGGCTGGGAAAAAAAAGCTGTGCCAAAAAAAAAAATTAATAAAAAAAAAGAAAAATGCTGTGATAAACCAAAAGGGAAAAAAAATCCTCCTCCATGCGGTGTTGTATTTTTTCCTTCCAATTTGGACACTACAGTTGCTCTCCCAAAGGACGTTCAAAGACCAGTTTGTACTGATGAAATGCTCAACTTTGTAATCACAACACTTTCTATTTTCTAGACTACTTTTTTTGTTCAGTGGTTTTTCTATCAGCTGGAATATTACAGCCTGGAGGATCCCAGGCTTAGGATGAAACTTTTGTTTTCCTTTTATTTCTCCCTTCCACTCCCGACTTCCTCTTCCTTTTTTCCTCCTCTTTCTTCTTGCCCCTTTTTTTTTTCTTTTTTCCCTGTATGCCCATAGTAGATGCAACCAGGTGGACATGACAATGAAAATTTTTGACAGACTGCTTCTCCTCTCTTCTCTCTCTTCCTTTTCCTTTCTTTCTCTCCGTTTAAAAGAAAAAAAAATCCTCCATGCTTCAGATCTTAGCGTCTCAAGGGCACTTTCAGCAAATTGTGTAATAAGTGCTTTATATAAGAATGCAGTGCTGGGGAAGATTTTTACAGGAGAAAGATGACTTTTAACAGAAAGAACCCAGTGTATTTTTGGAAAAAAAATATTTTTTATGTTAAGCAGTTTTAAAAGCCTAAAATGGCCACCAAATGTAGACCAGTTGTGTAATTCAAGCAGAAATAATGACACAGAGTCCAAGGAACATGAAAGGTGCAGTATCCTTTTCCTCTTCTCTCTCAGAAAGTGCTGTAAGAAAAAATGCCATTTGATACAATAAATGCCAGTCATTTACTAAGAGTCCTCTTCCAGCAGCCCGGCATTTATATAGTCTCACTTCATTTTTGTGGCTGGTGGGTGATCTACACATACTACTAAAAGGGCGTAAGTTTGAGACCATAAATACAGCATTCGTTTTCTTGAGTCCATATTTTCGTTTGTCCTCCAGGGGAAAACAATTGTGTATCATCTTCTTTCCTCTAGCTCTAGCTCAATTTGGTGATGTATACATACTAAAAGGGATTCGTAAGTTTGAGACCATAAATACAGCATTCGTTTTCTTGAGTCCATATTTTCGTTTGTCCTTGGTAACCAGGGGAAAACAATTGTGTATCATCTTCTTTCCTCTAGCAATAGTTCAAATGTCATACAGAACATGGGTTTGGCTGCCTGTGGCCTTGCTAAGCAGTGCTGCCCTCCGCTCTTCATCCCACTCGGCTGTTTCTCTTCCAGTAAGTCAATGGGATTTTACCACTGACTTAATGGGACCAGTTGGACCAAGATCTATTGACTGCATCTGTCATTGTTGACGAACGGACTCTTGCCAAGCTCCTGCCCATCCACGGTTGGCGCGCACCTAGAAGCAGGCTCTTCCATTGCATCGGGCAGTATGTGGTGCTGCTGCCACCCTCAGCCGTGTGTCTTCTGTGTGCTACAAGGAAGGCTCTGGGTCTGCACCTGGAGGCTCACTGTCCGCCCAGACAGCCTTGAGGGTGTCCTCAGTGCGGTGCTCAGAAGGCAACATAGAACTCTCCATTAGGTGAGGACGTGATAAAGGATATATAAATTATACCTCAACATATATCCTACTACGAAGTTACAGTGGGTGAAATGATCAGAATGACAATAAAGACTTCCAAAGCACCACCTGTCCACTTTGGACATGATTTCCTCTGCAAGCTAGACATCTGCAGTGGTGCCCACTGAAGACTACATTACTCTAAGAGCCAACGATGGATGCAAAGAAGGATGCATAGGCAGAGTTTACCGAAAGTGCTGTAAACTATGAGGCAACCTTGGGGTGGTGGCAGCCGTTATTAAGGCAAATCCTCAGAACTGGCTGAGTCAAAGAGGTGTCCTCCCTATCCCACAGGCTAGCCTGGGATTTGTAGGAGAGAGAAAAACAAACAAGCAGAGACCCCCTTAACATCAGGTAGTACCTTCCTGCCCAAAGTTGCTATTTCTGTAACACAGGGTCTTCCCTTTGGTTTGACCACGGCTGCTGAAGCGGTGATTTGATCTGAGCAAAACCAAGACCAGAGCCCTCGTGCTGAACTGGTGGTGCGAGACCTGCCAAGCATCATGGCATCGTCACGGCATCGTGGAATCCGTACCTCATTTTTCCTCCTGTGTTCTCCTCTCTTTACGCTTGAATCTGCACAGTATCTTAGTCCTTCCAGTGCGACTAGCCACTGCCAGCTTCAGCTGCATTTCTTAAAGATACACATTTGGGAAGGAGAAAAGAATGAAAAGAAAGAACTGCTCAGGGTTACTCAGTCCTGAGGTGAAAACAGGCGGGATTTTGGTTATTAATAACAGTTAGGCTTGTTTATAATTTATATCAAAGAATTGGACACTGGAAGGTGTGAAGGATTATTTTCGGTGTTAAATGTGTTCATGTGTTGGTTTTAGTTTTCTGCTCCAAGAGCATGGGCTGTGGATGATCACGTGGCAGTTTTGCACTGTTTTGTAACAAACAACCACATGTACCTACTAATTTAAAGTCACTACTAAGAAAAAAAAGAGTACTTGTTCGGAGAGAGACTTGAATTTGCATACAAAGGTTTAATGTGGTTTTATAAAGCACAGTTGGGTCAATGATTTGATTACAGTCATTGCATGTACACGGTTAACTTCCTAAGCTGCTTTTGGGTGGCGTTTCTGAGAGTAACGCGCAGAAGCTCCCGGTCTGCAGGCAGCGGAGGGCAGTGCGGATGGGGCCCTGGCCTTGCATCCGTCCCTTGAGTGGCGCCTGAATAGGCCAGACCTCAGGATTCAAAGAGATGAGGTTGCTCAGTCCGAGTTCAGCGATGCCACATGGCTGGCTGGCTGGCTACGTAGCCCGTGTTTCGTGGTTGTTCCCGGGATAGCTACTGTAGATAACTCGGCAGTGTCCGTGGTGCCCATTTCTTTTTCCTTTTTCCTTCTTTTGAGTTGTCAGAACACCACCTTTCCTCTGCCCGCCTACGTGGAGGTAAGAAGCCAAGAGAAACAAAATTTGAAAATCAGTCGTTTGCAAAGCCTACGTGTGAGAGAGGCTGCTGGTCCCGAGAGTTTTCTCTACAGACCATCAGATCTGAAAGCACGTATGGGAAAAGCTAAGAAAATGCACCTTTCTTCCCCTCCCCAAGACCCTAAAGACTGGAAAATCCTCAAAGATACCGTAGGAGAGAGTTTTCGGCTAAAATGAGGGCAGCTATTAAGGAAGGCAGAAGATGTAGTTGCAAAGGCTAATCCTAGCCTGCCGGGCTGGTTTCTTTAGGAGGTGGGCAGTGGGGAGAGAGAGGCTTTTCCAGGCTGTAGTTCAACGTGGACGTCTAAGCCTAGACCTGCCCTCGCGGGAGCTCTCGCTTTCCTCCACTGCTGCGGCGGCACCCCCCGGCTGGCGGTGCCTTTCTGCGGCTCCCCTGGAACAGAACAGCGTGAGGCAACAGGCCGATGGACCTCGGCGGTTTTTTCATACAACAATTCTGTGATAATTTTGTTTCTAGTTCTTTGTAACAGAAGAGAAGTTGAAAAACCTAAGTGAGCAAACAGGGTTGTGAAACCATCGAGAGGCTTACTGGATTTTTATCATTGCTGGCTGTCTGGAAGTGGCCTTGAAGTGAAAAAAGGCGGTTTCTGAAAAGCCACTCGACTCTGTGGGTTAGAAGGATACTGAATCTTTTATGTGGAAAACACTGGGTCCCTTATGGGGCACTAAAGGGCCTGACTTACAGGGTTATACACACATTAACCCCATGCTACATCTTAGAAATTTCCTTTTAATTTGTTTAAAAAAAAAGAAAAAAATAGCTAATTTTAGAGCCAAGTGAAGTGCACTTTGTCAAATGTAAGGGTCTGCTTTGTTTTTGGGTTTCTTTTTTCTTTTTCCCTTTTTAATTTTTCCTCCTTTTTTTCCTCTTTTTGCCTTTTTAAAAGATGTGGTTCTTTGTCAATTGCAGAAATGTTCTTTCAGCCACTCACTGAAATTCTGAATTCTGGCTTCTGCAGTTTTTATTGTCTGTGTCAGACTTGCAGCCAGACTTGGTTCTCATTTCAACATTTCCCAGGTTCTGTTGAAACAACATCAACCCTTATTTTGTTTCTCCCCCACCCACACTTTCTTCAAATTCACCTTGTGTATTGTAGCTCATTTGTTTTAAGGAGAGAATCAACAGATCATATTCAGTGTCTTGAATAAATTGCTATATTTTGATATTAGAGAATTCTGTGCGTGTTGTTCCTTATTCTTTCCTCGCTGTTTTGCATCCTCTCCTTAAGAGCTGGGGTTGGGTTTCTTAAGTTGTAACATGGCGTCACCACCTGAAGGGTTACCCGGCCTGCGGGTGTATAGAGGTCGCAACCGTGGGTTCGTAGGATTTTGTAATACACAAGGACACGGAGGCTTTATCCTCTAAATTTCCCTACTTTCTTACAGATTGCCACAAATACCACAAAAATCACCACTAGCAAGTCTACCTATGATTAAGAAAGCAAATATATTTATCTCTCTCAAGCTATTACAAATTATTATCAGCAATAGTACAGCAACAATCAATAATATAGCAGCGATCAATTATAGCAACAATCAATTATAGCAGCATCCAATAATAGCAGCAGTCAAGTGTGTGTGTATATATATATGTAATATTACAGGTTATGACAAAGTTATTACTGGTGAAGCAAACTTACCAATAATAGAACAGCAGATACGCTAGGTTACCTACAGGTATGTATATGGCAGCAAGTGCATGTCAGAAGGGGCCAAACCATCCCAGAGCAGAGGACAAACTGATCCCAGAGGGGGACCCGACCATCCCAGAGCTGGGAGGACAGACCGGGCTGGCCCCCGATGTGGGCTCAGGGGGGAGCAATAAAACAACAGACAGAGTCTCGCTTCAAAGATGATCCACGTCATGGAGTTTGGAGTCAGTCTCGCTTCAGAGATGATCCACGTCATGGAGTTTGGAGTCAGCCACGTGTCCCCAGCGAGGGTCCAGGGTCTTGCAGAAAGTTCACGCAGA